CTTCTCAGAGTCAGCCAAAGATACTTGGTTCAAATCCACTAACTACTCTATGGGGAAAGGATGAACAATATCCTCCCATGCGATTTACTGCCTCTGAAAATCCTCTTGAAGGTCAGCTATGGGTTGATCCTGACTTGATGGCACATAACAGTAATAACAAAGAATAAAGAATTTTTTAAATAACTGCATAGCATTAACAAATCTCACCTTCCTTGCCACTAAGGAATACTCCAGCTACACTTCTGCTAAGAGTTGTTTGTTCTTTTGACAGTCCATGATATGTTCAATATTCTTTGCCAATATCACAATTCAAAGGCATTAGTTCTTCTTTGGTCTTTTTTTATTCATTGTCTAACTTTCACATGATATGAAACGACTGAAAATACCATGGCTTGGATCTGGTGAACCTCAGGCTTTAAGCTGACATCCCTGTGTGTTTGCACTTTAAAGAGGAGGGCCTTGGCAGCAGATTTGCCCAATGCAATATGCCATTTAATTTCTGTACTGTAGCTTCCATGGGTGTTGACTGTAGATCAGTACAATTAAAATCTTGACAGCTTCTCCATCTATAATCTTTCTGCCTATTGTTCCAATAGTAAGGATTGTTTTATGTTGAGATACAATTCATACTGATGGGTATAATCTTTTGGTAAGTGCTTCAAGTCTTCTTCACTTTCAGCTAGCAAGGTTATATCATTTTCAGATTGCAGATTGTTGATGAATCTTTCTATAGTCCTAATGCCACATTCTTCCCTATATAGTCTAGCTCCTCAGACTATTGTCTCTGCAGACAGTTCAAATAGTTATGGTACAGTACACACTTTGACATACACTTTTGCTCATTTTAAATGTTGTCATTTCCTCTTGTTTTGCTTGAGCAATTGATTCTTTGTCTATGTACATGTTCCACATGAAAACATTTAAGTGTTCTAGAATTCCCGTTCTTCTCAGTGCTTTCACCGTGGTTCCTGAAATTCAAGTTAAGACTGAAGAAAACTAAAACAAGTCTGTGAGAGCCAAAATATTCTTTTCATTATACTCTGCCTGAATTAAGAGACTATCTCAAGAACATATTTGCTACGTTAAACACTCGTGTCTGAAAACAAGATGAGTTATGGGATGTTAATCATAAGCGACTTAACAGAAAGGTGGAAGGAAGGGAGGGAGGGAGAGAGAAAGAGAAAGAGAGAGAGAGAGAGAGAGAGAGAGAGAGAGAGAGAAAGGAAGGAAGGAAGGAAGGAAGGAAGGAAGGAAGGAAGGAAGGAAGGAAGGAAGGAAGAAAATGCCAAAATGGAAATAAAAAAATACTCTGAAATTGTTTTGATCCTGTTGTTGTGTGGTTGTGTGCTATCGAGTCAACTCCAACACATAGGGATCCTATGCACAACAGCTCTAAACCTGCTCTAACCTGAGCCAGTCTCATTGTCTCTGAGGTGCCTACCCCCATTACGCCAGTCACTGAGTCAATCCATCTCATCCAGCGTCTTCCTTTCTTGTGCTGTCCCTCCACCCTTTCAAGCACAATGTTCCTCTCCAAGGACTGACTCCTTCTTGCAACATTCCCAAAGTATATAAGATGAACCTTCAGAATCGTTGTCTCCAAGGAATAGCCTAATTTCAGCCTCTCCAGAATGAATCTGTTTGTTCTTCTAGCAGTCCATGGTATATTCAATACTCTTCTCCAGCACCACAGCTCAATAGCATTGATTCTTCTTCTGTCATCCCTAGTCATTGTCCAGTTCTCTGATGCATAGCAAATAAATGTCTATAATTTGTTTAATCCTGCCACCTTTCTGTAGAAACTATTTGTAAAAGGAGCAAAGGCAACATGGGGAAGGCTGAGTCGAACCTGTACTAACTCCACAAAGGGGAACTAGCCCCATCAACAACATCCACAGTACCAAACAGATCCTCAATCAGACATGATCCCCCACGTTCCTGCACTTACTTCTGCTAATTATTGGAAATTTACTGCAAATGACCATACAGACTTTAAATAATCTCTCTTTACTTACAGTTATAAAGTTCACCAGGGAAACTGATTGGAGGAAAGAAAGCAAAGAAAATCACACAGTTGAAAGTCCAGGTTCCACATCAGGTTAACTGCAAGACACAATTCCTCAGTTAGTTCAGAAAGCTTCTCAGTCAACAAGACGTAGCTACTCAGCAAGACTTAGCTCCTCAATTAATCCAATTAGTCAATAGCAAAATACCTCTGGTGCAAGAACCTTTGGCCCAGAAGAGACTTTTTCTCCTTCTTCTTCCTGGTTGAAGTTTCCCCTCTCAAGCATTTCAGACTCTGACTCTGCCTGACTCCTTCAGGCTATGCCTTGCCACAGTCTCCCACAGTCTGGTTAGCTCTCAGCTGTTGGTGATGTTGAAGACACTAATCAACAGTGAGCCATGTGTCTGCAGATGAGGCAGTGGAGACCACACTCCCTGGGGGGGTTAGAGAGTGAAAAGGTACTGAGTAGAGCCTCAAAGATTCATTTAATTTATGCATTCCCACCTGGCTGTGTGATCAGGTCTAAGGCAATGAATAGAAAAGTCTTAAAAAAAATCCGGGAGCTCTGGTGGCCTTGTGGCAAGAAGCTGCACTGCAATCCCAGAGATACGCGGTTCGAATCCACGAATCTGCTCTGCCGGAGAAGGAGGGGCAGTCTCCTCCTGTACCAGTCAGATCTGATTTGACGGTACACACACAAAATAATAAATAAATACATAAATACATACATACATAAACCTGAAGCAAAATCCACTGATGATTTCCCAAAACGACTGAAACTTTGACAGAGAACTACCAGAAAAACAAGCTGGGTTTAGAAGAGGTTGCAGCACTAAAGACATTATCGCCAATTGCAGATGGGTCTTGGCAGAAAGCAGAGTACCAGAAGAATGTCTATTATGTGTGTTTCATTGAGTATATAAAGGCATTTGACTGTGTGGATCACAACAAATTGTGGCTATCCTTGAGGAGAATGGGAATCCCAGAACACTTGATTGTGCTTATGCGAAATCTATACTCAAACCACAAAGCAGTAGTCAGAACATAGCAGGGAAATTCTGCATGGTGCAAAATCAGAAAAGTGTTGTCTCCATACCTTTTTCAATCTATATGCAGAACAGATCAGTCAGGTGGCTGGACTTAATGAGGAGGAATGTGGCATCAGGATTGGAGGAAGACTCATCAACTCATCA